CCACAGACGGAAAAATGCTCCAAGAGAAAGCTAAGTGATCTTTTGGCAAAACTCCTTTATCAAATGCCACTGTAAGATAATCCATATTGCTAATGGCACGTAGGCATATGTTGTGAAAGAGCAATCATGCACGTGTGGCTGTCAGCATATATTATTCTTTGCACTTAGATGAAACTGCTTGTGTACAGAGTATGAATCAGCTTGTGGCATATATATATTTGAAATATAAAATGAAGTACTTCATTCCTTTTTTGTAGTTTCCTTAAAACAGAAAACCCAAGCTAAAGGAAAATAAGTTTTCTGTTTTATTAATAATTATTTGTGGAGCAGTAACGTACCCTAGAAAAGGCACGTTGGGAACTGTTGAGAAAGCACCAGCCACGTGTGTCCAGGAAGGGTATTGTTACTGAATAAAAGAGCTTGTACCTGACAGCTAATTCACATACTGCTTTTCCTCAGAGAAAGTCAACAGTGTGTTGCTTTATTTGGCTCCAGTGTTGAAGATATTAGTAAAAATTTTGAATGAGGTCACATAGGTTTATCATACATACTTTCAGCATGTTCTATGAAAAAATGGGCAGCTATTCTTAAGTACTCTAGCTGTGAGAGGGAAAATGCTCACCTAACTTTTTCAAGTGTATAAAGAGAGAATATTTTTCTATGTTTTTATAAGTGGTGCATCTGAATGTTATGTTTAGTATCCTGACAGGCAGAAGTTTATGCTTAAAAGTACCACCAGTTTAACTACTGAGAATAAAATATCCAGATGCCCTAAGACCAAAGAGCCTTACCACTGAGAGTAAGATTTTCTGAACACTCAGTGATTTTCTTTAATTGATGAAGAATGAAGCTGATGTTGTAATTTAAAACTGTATCCAAGTGCTGCAATGGAACTTGAAGAAATACTTTTCAGATCTGAATGCAGCTGGAGTTGAATCCATTAACCACTGTTTCCCAGGTTGAAAGAGTCAAACTTTTCAGCTCTTCAGAATTTGAGTGTGATACATATACATAGTGTCTGAAACTACTGAAAATAATCTTTGGAGAGTTTAAGGTCTAAATAATTTTTGGGTCATGTTTGATCCAGTTATCCACTATTTGATAGACTTGTTGGCCGCCATCAAGTTGGTTCCGACTCATAGTAACCCCATAGGATTTTCTTGGCTGTAATCTTTATGGAGGCAGATCTCCAGATCTTTCTCCCTCAGAGCCGCTGAGTGGATTCGAACAGCCAACCTTTTAGTTAACAGCCAAGTGCTTAAACATTGAGTCACCAGGGCTCCTTGATAGATACCAGATACTTATTGCCATGTTTTTCAATCTTTGGCTAGATTTAATAGAACTAAAGTAAGAAAGAAAATCAACCTGATGTGGAGTCCTAGTGTCAGCTATAAAAAAAAACAAAAACGAATTCATTGCCCTTGAGTTGATGCTGACTCATAGCGACCCTACAGAATAGAGTAGAACTGCCCCATACAGTTTCTAAGGCTGTAATCTTTATGGATGCAGACTGTCACGTTTTTCCTGTGAAGTGGATGGTGAGTTCAGACCGCTGACCTTTTGGTTAGCAGCTGAGTGCTTAACCACTGCGCCACCAGGGCTCCTTTAGTGTCAGCTATAGAGATGGCTTGTATAGGTTATGTTGTTAGATTGCAATAATATCCTTTGTATCTAATATGAAACTTATTTTTTTCATTAATTTTGGTTTGTTTTTATTTTTTGAAAGTTGTAATGATTCTTTTCAAACATTTACTTTAAATTAGTGATCCCGTGTTCTGCTGAAAAATTTCCGTTAAACAGTTGACAGATGCCAAAAGTTGTAGAAACTTTTTTTAAAGCACAGTTAAAATAATTTCTGTAGATACGTCATTCACTAACTTAGTTACTTTGGGTAAGAAACTTAAATTTTCTGATCCTCAATTTTCTCATTTGTGCATTTGGCATAGTGGTAACTAAAGGTGACTGCATAGTTATTTACTTTGTCTCATTTAATTGTGCAACAATCTTGTGAGGTAGGTGTATTATCCCTAGTTTACATTCATGGAAAAGATAAATCACTGGTCCAAGCTAACAGCAGCAGTTGCTAGGAATTGAATTGAAATCCTCCATGTCCATTGCTCTTGCTAGCATTTCTTGTCAAACATGTTATAAGAATTTTTTTTTTCTGTTCATTTTTCAATTGGGCTGTTTGTCTTTTTGTTGTTAAGTTGTGGGAGTTCTTCATATATTCTGTTTGTTAAACCCTTGTCAAATACATAATTCCCTAAAATTTTTCCTCAGTCTGTAGATTGTCTCTTCACTTCGTTGATAAAGTCCTTTGATGAACAAAAGTTGTTAACTTTTATGAGGCTGTGTATCTATTTTGTCTTTTACTGCTCCTTCTTTTGATGTCACATGTAAGAATCCATTGTTAAAAACTAGGTCTCAAGGCAATACCCTTACGTTTTTTTCTAAGAGTTGTATTGTTTTATTTCTCACATTTATTCTTGATTCATTTTTAATTAGTTTTTATATATGGTATCAAGTATGAATCTTGCTTTATTCTTTTGCATGTGGAAATCCAGTTTTCAAGTTATTTTTTTCTGAAATTACTAGCCCTATAACATGTTAGTCTGTTAGCATTTAACATAGCTTCATAATGAAAAGCTTATATTCTTATTTTCAAAAATCTATGACAAGTTAGTATGTGACATTATATTACCACTTATTCCAAGCTTTTATTTAAAGTTCTTATTGATTGTAGATTTTTATGGGATCGTGTAAAAGGATTAAGATGTGAGCTGTGGCAAGAGAACAGCAATAATACAGCAGTTAACTGTATGAACTGCTAATTGTGGCTCAGGGATATGTTCCTTGAGGGCCACTTTTGTTCTATAGGAACCTTTGGAAAGCACACCACACCAGTAACAAGTGCTCCCAGCCTTGTGTGATTTTGTTTGTAGCTTAGGTTGTCTATCTCAGAAATAGATGAATTGACAGTGGGTCCTTTTGCATTCATGGTATCAAATAATTGCATCTGGGAATTGGATTGCTAATATTTCCTTATGAGGAAGTTTATGGTAACTTCCCAAAAAGTACTGATTCTGAATTGCTGGACATTGTGACAAAGTTTTTTTAAAAAAAAGTAGACCTGTAAACTATAATAATAAGCACTTCTGTGAATTGTTTTTTTATTTTTATTTTTTTGCACCTTGAATTTAAGTCACCTTGCCATATTTTTCAAAATATGATATTGTTCTTGCTATTCTTTGACAGACCCCTTATCCCTCTGGACAGAATGCAGGTCCAACCACGCTGGTGTACCCCCAAGCCCCTCAGACAATGAATTCACAACCTCAAACCCGTTCTCCGGTAAGTAAGCAAAAGCTTGTTCTAGATAATATTGTCTACCTTAGTTTGCGCGCCTAGTAGCTTGGGTTCTTTTGACTAATATTTTCACAGGATTTTGGAAGTTTATTCCAAAGATATATTATTACTATTATTGATTTCATTGTATTTTCAGACCTTTCTATGTAGGAATAATTTAAATTTATTAAGAAAAAGAGGAAATGGAGCTTATTTATTTTACTTTTCTATGGCATGATTTTCTTTTCTTTTTTTTTTAAAGCCTGTTTGCATTCAAGTTTGCTTCATTTCAGCTCTTAATTTATCAGTTGTATTGTTCAAAATTCAGGAGAAGAGTAAAGCACAATGATGTTGAAGGTAACTTGAATTTCATTAATTAGACTCACAATTTCCAGTGGTTTAGGAAGTAAGATTACTGAGTCAGTGTCACTGGATTAGTTCTAACTATTTGACAATGTGGACGTATGCATGACATACACCAATGGGTGTATTCATTTCTTCAGATGGTAAATAAATTGTCATACAAATGTAAATGCTGTCATCCTCTGTGCTAATCTTTTACATGGATTGCAATAAGTACTGCAAAGACTGAGAATTTACTCAAAGATCATCTTCTGTTCCAGAAAAGTGTGCAGTCGCTTCAGCTGTCCATTCTTTAGAAAGTCATCTCCTGTCCTGCATGATTAGCTTTGGCTAGAAGGTGCTTCTGTAACATCTCACATTGTATCTCTTTGTACCTCAGTTCTGTGTTTTCCTCAGACTACAGGGACCTTCTTTTTGTTCCCACCCTTGCTTTTTGCTTGTAGTATGGGAATACTTCATTGCATTAGCTCTTATTCTTTTGGTTTTCTGCATGAATTTAGAATTGTTGAAATATACCAAAGAATTGCTCAAAGAGCTAGGACAGCATAGACTGCACCAAAACACAATCTTTCTTACCCTCTGTCTTCCTTTTTCCCTGTTGTCCTTTTCTCCAATACCTGTTCCTAGATCCTGGTTCTCCCCAGTGGGTAGAAGAACCCATTCTAAAGAGTGAGGTGGGACTTTAGTCCCAGTTGCCTGTTTGCTTTTCTCTCTCTCTCTCTTTTTTTTTTTTTTTTTTTTTTTTGCTGAAATGGTCAACAAGATGTCTGATGAAAGTTTTGTTCTGAGAGTGACTTGGGGATGTGGACATTTGACTACTCGAAATAGGTCTGAGATCTCACAGATCAATTTAGATAGGCCCCGGTTCTAATCATTAAATATGGAACATTATGGTAAGCTCTTATTGCAAAGAATTCTATGGCCCTCTTTTTTCCCTTGTTTTTTTTTTTTTTTCTTATTTGAAAAAAAGGAAAATTTACATGGTTAGAACTGGCGCAGAACCTGACTGAAGAGCTGCATCTCTAAACCAGTTTTTTTGACAGCCCAGCAGAACAGTGCCAATACATTGCACAGACAACTGGAAGCGGAGGAAGGTTTTGGAACAGACTCCTGTTTACAGGTCCTTGGCTGGAAGAGGCTGGATAAAATACTGCATTGTAAGCAATATAACAAACTGTACTTCTTGCAGGCAGTGGTGCCTCTGGCACTCATTATTTTTGACCACATCCATTTATTGGCTGATGAACAGAAATGCATTGATTGCTTCCTCTCTGAAAGTTTAACCTAGCATGGCAGTTTCTGCTAGGCATGGTGGGGAAAAGAATAACAAATTGGGTGGTCTTCTCTATTGGGAATTAGACAGGAGTAATTGGGGTTTAGATTTTTCTTTATTTTAAACTTCAAATGAGATATCCCTTTCAGGTAATTTGATTTAAAAAGATAAATTTCAAGGCTTCTTTTTCCTCCTTTCCATTTTATAATTGTATATCAAGGGGGAGATTGTCTGCAGTTGTCAGCCATTTTTCTGTGGTCATAAAGTCTTCAGGTGCTAGTCTCTATGCAATTTTTGCCATCTGCTCTGCTAGTGACCATTACCACTCCCATTACTAAAAACCACACACATAACATTCCATTACATATCCCAAAACAAGTGCAAGACTAGCAGACCCCAGACTACTCTTGCTTGTTGTTTTGGGTCCAATTTTCTTTATTTCATTTGTGATGATGCTGGGAGGTTGAAGTTGGGGTATGAAATTTGGCAGGATTGCGTTTTATTTTTACATCTCAAGTTGCCATAGTCTAGTCCCATCCATTCCACAGCTGTCCCAACCGGTGAGGAGAGGTAAGCTGTTGCACTAAGGAGATAAGGAGAGGACCCCTCCTGTGGCTTTGTAGAGCAGCTAAAGCTTACTCCATTCTATTTCTGCATTAATGGGCCATTGGCAATTGCACAGTTTAGGCTTTTCTGTTCTCCCTGGACAGCTGCCTTTGCAATCCAACTGGCTTCAAATGGCCCCCCTCCATCCCTCAGGTCATCTTTGTGCCTGTATTTCTATTTAGTGCTTAGTATCTTACTTAAATTTATATTGTGGGAAATCCCGTTTAAAAAAATACTAAACTTCAGTGAAATTTACCAATCTGTTCCATTTTCTTGTTATACTGGAACTCTTAAACAGTAGTTTATTTTTAAATAGCCTGTCCAAAATAGTGAAGTGATAGAATGTTTAATTGGGAGAGGGGGACAGTTTGGCTTTTGCAGTAACCTGTAAGCATTGGTGATTTTTACATTTTGCAGTGCTAAGTGCCAAAGTTACATCAATGTTACATTGGCTATGCCCGGTTACCAACTGTGCATAGAACGATATGTGAGTGAATGGGTAGGTGGCATTAACATTGGATCCAAGTTCACAGAAGGCTGCTTTCCTTTATATCTACAATCCTCACCATCTTAAGACCCCTAAAAGGAAAAAAAAAGAAACAAAAGTTTCTATTTTTAATACAAGCCAGCAGCGACTACAGTTTGTTCTGTTGCTTACAGCTACCCATAGGATTAAGACTGTTGTCATTCCAAATGAAAAACTCAATAGCCAATGGTGACTAGTGCAAAATAGACTAGGGTACTTTCCCAGGACACTTTCCCACTAACTTGTATGTTGGTTTATATTTTTGAAATAGATACATAATTTTATAAGGTATTCCTCTTGTTCATAGAAAGTTTCTCTTTTTACTGGAACATTCCAAATATATAAAGTTTCAACTTTTAGAGCCTTAGAAATGGGATCTTTCTGTGGAACAGTGATAAGACAGGTACTGCTATACTCGGGTTAATTTTTTTAACATGGCCCTTCTCTCCCATTTTCTTCAAAAGTATTATTAAGAAACATCTCGCTTCCACCACCACCCCCATTCATACCACGTGGGTGGTGTTGCCTATTCTTGAAACTTAATGTTCATAGTAGAGCTGTGATCTGTTTTCTTCTCATAATTGAAAAACTGCATATATGGACCTTAGTTTCTTTCAAGAGAAAGTTGTCTTCAAGAAATATAGCTGCCATTATCATCATTGAAAAACTGTATTACAGTGGTTAGCCAAATATAGTGGCTGACTTAACACACTCTAAGCATATAGGTCCTTGGGGTTTCCTTAAGTTATGTTGAATAACTTCCATGTTAAGGCATTTTTCATTACTTGACAATAGGTGACATTTTAGCTTCTCGGGTGAATTCTTGGTAGCACTGTCTTCAGCCATCTTTCATATTGTGGCCTGTGTTCCACTACAGTTTGTGGAAAAATTTTTGTATGAAATAATGGCAGTTAGGGAAATAATTCCAAATCTCTTGCAAATTACCATTGTACGAAACTTAAATTCTAAGTAGTAGGGATTATTTTTAGTTAATATTCAATCTAATCCAGCTGTAGTGATGAGCTGACAGAAGGAAGGTATCATAGAAAATAAAACAACCAGCTCCTTAAATGTATTAAAACCCTGTATAGTTTGTATTGAAAACTGCTTTCTATATATTTTGTTTTCACTATTAAAGAGGGTGGTTTAAGTATTACTAAAGTATTAGTAGCCAGGACATGTCTCTCCATGCCTCAGTACTTTTCTGTCCTTTTTAGTAAAAATGCATTGGTAGCTGAATTTTCCTCTGATGATGAATTATTTGATCTTAGAGGTTTAGTCTTAAAAATTTCATGGACGAAAAAGCTTCTTCTTCTTCTTCTTGTTTTTTTTCTTTTTAATTCTAAGTTAAGAGTAAAAGTTGGAATATAAATTATCTACTTTCAAGTACTTTATGATTTAGCTGAGGAGTTATGTTTGCTTTTATTCTCAGTATCAGGTAGCAGTAGATACACATGTACAGTGTTTTTGCTGTTGTCTACAAATAGTAATTGAGAAAGTACTCAGTTGACTTCTTTACTCTTTTTTCTTCTTGAGCTTATAATAGTAGCACTTTGATTAATCATGTTAGAGAACAGTGTTCTTTGCTAGCTGTTTTCCTTGATACGCCTGCTATTAAGCTTTACTAGTTAATTACATTTACATTTAAATACATGTTATTATAAAATGTTATTCTTTAACTTCCAGATATAAAGGAAGGTATTAAAACTTCGATTTCATGTATGAGATACCCATTTAAGAAAATTCGATATCAGTCCTGTTATATTCTTTATTTCCTGTTGGACATTATAATTACCACCTGGCTGTTTCTTGCAATATGAAAGCATTTCTCATTCCCTTCAACTATATTGGTTACATGCAAGCATTCTTGACTTCCAAATGCTTGTTTTAATATAATCACTAGTGTTTCATACTTTCTTTTGCCCTATTTTAGGGTTTTAAAAAAGCATTCCTATCAGAGAGCACCCTAAGGTGCCTGACAGTATAGCTGCTTCTCTCCAGCTGATAAATGACAAACTGTTCCTGGTAGTTGGTGGTGTTAACCTGTTTACTCTTAGTACCTGTCTGTCACTGTCCTGCAGCAAAGCTTTGACTGTTTGTGTTTTTTGTTTTTATTTTTTTTCTTGTGGGTTTTTTCTTTTGGCATATTGTGTGACATTTTGGTTTTTGTTGTGGTGTTTCTGACTCTTTGTGCCTTTCCTTTTGTGTTTGTTTTCCCTCCTTTTCTCAGTTTGCAGCGGGGCCTCGACCTGCCCATCATCAGGTACTGTACTCTTGCCCCTTCACTATCACCCTTAACTAATAGGTGAGAGCTTTAGTAGCTGCTAACTCTTAGAATGCTGCCATCAAATTACTCTCTTCAAGAGTAGCTTCTATCTGATATGATTCAGTTCTTTTTGTTTACTAATTTCATTGCGTTTTGTTATTAACAAATCCATTTGCTTCTGTTCATGGTACAGTTTAAAACTAATGATTACAGTTTTTTCCCTTAAAAAAAAAGATGGCTTTGAATTTAGAGAAGCTTTGAAAAATTTTAGATATATTAAGTTCTCACAATTTGTAGATATCTGTATTAAGCTTAAATTTAACTGACTTGAACAGGCAACATTCTAAGGGTTTTTTGTTAACATTCTGATATAACTTGTATTGATGTGTATAAAATAGCATTAATATTTCTAAAACCACTTACTTCTCAGTTACTAACTAGACCTAATAACAAATTGATTAGCAGTAATGTATATTCATTTGCTGCATAGAATTATCTTTATTCTTAGGATATATAGAAAATAGATAACTTTGTTATTTAATTTGAATATTTTTAACCTATTGGTTTTTTTTTAATGAGGTGATTGTATAAATTAAAATTTCAAAAATATATATGTTAACGTTAAGTTATTTAGAAATCTACCAAAGGAGTTTGTGTCAGAGAAACAAAAAGACTTGCAGATTTTTTTTCCTCTCAGATAGCTTTTTGTGGAGTATTCTGAAACATTTCTCCTGTTGTTGTAGGGAACAGTTGGGCTTTAGATTGTAACAGACCTATGTTCATATTACCAGTTCTACTATGTCACCAATGGGGTCACTTAAGTAAATCTTTTTCTGAGCCTCAGTTTTTTCATATTTAAAATGGGGATAAATATAGTTTACATTAGGGATAATATAGGTAAAGCATCTGTCACAAAGCAAGTCAGTAAGTAGCATTGGTTTTTAATATTGTTGTGCAACATAGTACAGTTTGATAAAATGAGAGAAATGGTACTAGTGTTTACCTATGATGTCATACTTTGGAAGTCTTATTACTGAGTAAACGTATATTGTTTAATTGAAGGCTGTTATTGTCTTAGAGTTATTTAATACACAGCTCTGTTTCTGAAAATGTAGGCCTGGAATTTGGAGGATATAAAGGCCAAGCAAATTCTGAGGTGTTAAGGGCACTTTAAGGAGCACTGGTGGCACAATGGTTAAGTGCTTGGCTGGTAACCAAAAGATTGGCAGTTTGAACCTACCCAGCAGCTCCGGGGGAGAAAGACCTGGTGATCTGCTCCCATAAAGATCACAGCCTAGAAAACCCTATGAGGCGGTTCTACTCTATCACTTGGAGTTGCTGTGAGTTGAAGTCGACTTGATAGCACCTAACAACAACAACAATAACAACAAAGGCACTTTGTAGGAGAACTCAGAGAAGAAGTAGATGGCTATTTTTTTAGCATAAGGAGCCCTGGTGGTGCAATGGTTAAGCACTTGGCTGCTAACCAAAAGATTGGCGGTGTGAACCTATCAGTGTCTCTGCGGGAAAAAAGACCTGATGATTTGCTCCTGTAAAGATTAAAGCCTAGGAAACTCTGTGGGGCAGTCCTGCTCTGACCTACAGGGTTGCAGTGAGTTGGAATTGACTCGACAGCACATGATGGCAACTTTTCAGAAGCAGCTCACTAGGCTTCTCGTCCAGAGCTCCTCTGGGTGGGTTCAAATTGCCAACCTTTAGGTTAGTAGTCGAGTGCTTAGCCATTTGCCTCATCGAGAGACTCTCTTTTAGGTAATGTGGTTGAGTATAAATTGAAAAAAAATTCTTTTTTTTTTTTAGTCAAGGACCATAGAGGCAAGGCTTGAATTTTAGGCAGGGATCAAACCAGATACTCCTGACAGGTACACCTGGCAATCTCTGCTCAAGAAGCAGAGTGAAAAGAAACTATTTGTGGATTAAGTGGAGACAAGAAATTGAGCAAAAATTATGAGCTCCTTTATATAGCATTCTTTAATTTGTTTGTTAATGTTTGTTAAACCTTGGCTTCTTTTGAAAATAATTTCAGACAGCTTAAGGCCGATTTTACCTTTAACAGTATCTTTGGTTGCCATTATTTTGGAGTGTTGTCTGTGACATAGATTACTGGGTGACTTTTGAAACCAGAACCATATTGGTAAATAGCCCAGGGACCTCTTATTAAGAGTTGTTAGCTGCCCTTGAGCTGGCTCCCGGCTCATGGCAACCCGTTTCACAGCAGAATGAAATGCTTCCCAGTCCTGCACCATAACCATGACTGGTTGCTGATCAGCCCATTACAATCCATAGGATTTTCATGGTTGATTTTTGGAAATTGATAGCCAGGCCTTTCTTCCTACCCTGGAATCTCCACTGAAACCTGTTTAGCATCATAGCAACATGCGTGCCTCCACTGACAGATGAGTGGTGGCTGCAATGAGATACACTGGCCAGAAATCATAGCCAGTCTCTTGAAGACTGTTAATCTTGAAATTTTTAAACATCTTGATAAATATAGCAGAAACTTAAAGGCTGGGTGTTTTCTACTACTTGTGTTCAATAGCAGTGGCCCTACAATAGAGATGTTGTATTTAAGCATTAATAGTCATCTTTGTGAAATTCTGTTTTCTAAACTTTCCTCTGAGCCTTAAAGGCATGTGTTACATTTTGTCTTTCCTTAATTCCAACAATCAAGGAAAACTTTCAGAAATCTTTGTGAGAAAAGATTTGTTTCAGTCTTGTCCCCTTTCTATGTGTAATATGACTCAACAAAGTATTGGCAGATTGGTGTTTTTTTAGCTGTAGGATGATGCTTGCCAAATTACATCATGTTTCGACCATTAAAAAAAATAGAAAAGTGTGTATGTGTGTATAATTTATTAATTAGCTAGAAAAATATTTTCTGACAATAGTACTTGAAGATAGATTTTTGATATGTGGCAGAAATCCAGAACATTGCTTTTGAATCCAAAAACTTGAGGTAGTGGTCTGCTTTTTACTATGGTACTCATTTTAAAATACCAGTTAAATTCTTTTTATTATACCACAGAGAATTAAGTGATTAAGGAAGTATATACCCTTGGCTCAGGCAGTAGCAGTAGTTACCTTGGAGAAATAGAAGAGGGAAGAGGCATGGGATTGAAGTGGCACTGCTGAGCAGGAGGTTACTGAACTGGTGTGGTAGGCATAGAGTAAATTATTGGGAAGAGTTTGCTGTTCTGTATCCATAGGAGATGTAGGGGCCGCTTTAATCTGTTTTACAGTGGAATGGATGGATAACTGATTATGAAAAAAACCTGTAAATTGCAGTTCATTTAGCAACCTTTGGGCTCCAAATGCCACTGGAATTCCCCCAGGGACAATTAAAAAATAGAAAAGAAAACACACAAAAAAGCCTCCACATATTTCCAAATACCCTCTATGGAGGTAATACCATTTTTCACTTAATCATTGAGACTGAAGTATATATTTAAGAGAATCTTCTCCTCAGATCTAAAACTAGTTAGAGATCTAAAGCTCTGAGAGGTTCACAGAGAAGGAAATGCTCATAATACAAAATGAGACATAGAGAATTGAGTAATGAAAGCAATACAGTACATGAAAAACAAGTGTTGAATGTGTTAAAAAAGAGAAACTAAGAAACAGGAATTGACAGATTCCTCAGAGTGTATGGGAACGTTCGCAAAGGTCACTGGCCAATGTGAAATGCATTCAGGAACAGATAAAAAATGATGTGGAAATAAACTCCTTGCCATCGAGTTGATTCCGACTCATAGCGACCCTATAGGACAGAGTAGAACTGCCCCATAGGGTTTCCATGGAGCCTGGTAGATTCGAACTGCCAACCTTTTGGTTAGCAGCTAAACTCTTAACCACTGCTCCACCAGGGCTCCAGTGTGGAGATAGGTAATCATAAAATGGAAAACGCTCTCTGGGATAAGACAACTGTGGTAACCATGAAGCTGTTTAAAGTTTATCCTGTGCAAAGAATTTAACTTTAGGCAATTTCAAATGAATGAGGGTCAAAGAAACCACCTAGTAACCCTGACGTCAGCTGATCTCAGAAAGGAAGACATGATTTCAGTCAATCGTGTTGAGATTATTAGCCAACAGGTTGAGTTTTTACTGTTTCCTCCTCTTCTCCTTAAAAGCCGCATTGTAACGGGCCTGAATTGAGTCTTGTTTTTTTAAAAACAAACTAATGTCCCTGCATACAGAATAACTGCTCAAATAAGCCCTGTATACTGTATTTGTGCTTTATTTTTTTAACAAGTAGTATGCAGAGAATATGCTTTTAAGAGAAAAAAAAATCTATGCCTTGGGATATTTTTGATTTGTTGTATTTAAGACTTAAAGTTGAATTCAAAGTATAAATAATTTTTTTCACCTGTGACTGTTTGCTTTGGCCAGATAAAATTAAATCAAGACTTAGAGCTAGCCTTGAAACTAGTGAATAGGTGTCTCACTTCTTTATTTTATTATTCATCAGTGGCTACTTTTCTGATCACTTACACCCTTTCATGCTTTGGTCTTATTTTTTTTAAAAGAATTTGAATGTTAGATAATGTTTCCTGTGATTATTGTTTCTAAGATCCAATATCAAATGAGTAACTTTTTGTGGATGCTTAGTAACCATTGGTTCTGTAAACACTGTAGGGAATAAAAATAATAACTATTATTTAGGTAAGCTATTTGGAGGTAATTTTTTGTGAAAAGAAAACATCCTCGTCCAGTTTAGTAATCTAGAACCTATATATTTTTATATATAAAATAAAGTGATATGAAGTGAAACAAATAATGGGATTTTAGATAGTAAACATTTTCTTTGCTCTTAGTAGAACCAAGAAATTGCTATAGAAGGTTTTTCCTGGAGGTGCTTTTGTTTAGAAGATCTTTTTTTATGTGTGACCAGCTAGGACTTTTTTTGAGTTTTTGCGAGTCAGAGACTTCATGCTCCAGTTAGTATTATGTCAGCCTCATCTTCTTTCTAGTACCATTAGTTTTTGCTTTTGCAGGTATTCTTTAGATCAATAAGGATGTTCTTTTTGCATTTTACTATCTGAAGAGAACTTTTAGAATAACAGTTTTCTTAAGATAAAGCAAGAAATCCTAAGTAATTTTGTATGCCCTTGGTATACCCTTGGCTTTAGAAATATGTCAACTATTTTTACACTGATGTTTGAAAATCCCAAGGTAATTAGAAACTGAAACAGCAGAAAGTTCATTCAGAGTTAAGTCACTTGGAATAATTTAGATTCTGTTTTGTGTTGTTAATTTCGTGTCTTTGGTCATTGGAATTTGTTTGGTTGTGGTTTAAGGTTACTTATGTTCCTGTCCTTATTTTACTTTTGTTTCACAATAGAGATCAAGTGTTGGTTATATAGTATGGCTGAGTACTCTTTTCATTATGAGACAGATCAGGGGATTGGTATTTTAAAATGTTCTTAGAATAAAAACATTTTGCAGTTTGTTGAAATGTGACTTCAGTTTACTGAGTGTTCAAAAGAGCTGGATAATAGCCATATTTAAAACAATTGAATTTAGCATAAACAAATGTTAAGCCTCATAAAACTTAGCAGTATTTGCTGGCAAACATGCATGTTTTCTGCTGTAGTTTGGGTCTTTCTGCAAAAAGATTTTAAAAAGTAAGAGAAAAGAAAGGAAGAAGTAACAACTGGTTTATGTTGATATTTTCCTTATGACCCCTAAAGGTTCCTCTACTCAAAATTATGTTGTTACATTCAGTGTCCTAGTTCCTGGTTCAGACTTATTTGTATTGCTATCGGCAGTTTCTCAGAAAGTGAAAGAAAGGAAGGCTTGGGGTTTGCCTCTGGGGCCAGACCTGGCACATTAGAGTTTGATGGATGAGAGTAGGAAACCAGATAAAGCATATATATGTATAGTCTTATGACCAGACTTCTTGGATCTTTCAGAAGTTCATAATGGCAATTTTGTCTGGTGTTGTAGGGTGGCAGCATAGATAGTAAAGAAAGTACAGGTTGGGAGTTGGCATAACTGGTGTTCAATCTCAGCTTCACTAGAAACTAGCCTTGAGCCTCAGCTTTAAAATACACTCATAAATAATATAATATCGGGGCTTTACAATAACAGCACCTATTTCTAGCGGTGTTGTGAGGATCAAAGTACTGCCTATCATAGTGTCTGGCACCTAATAGGTCCTTGGTAAGTGTTAATTTCCTTTTGAAGGGAGACAGCGTGCCTTACCCTTTTCCCAGTCTATTTTTAGCTGTGACTGAAGTGTTCTAAAAGGATGCTCATTTCTCAGGCTGTACATTATGATCTGACAAAACACCTTCTTGATCCTGACAGAATCCTTAGGGCTTTCTTTCCTCCGTCTGACATAATCCTCTAGGGGAGTGCTGTCTAATAGAACTTTCTGTAATGATGGAAATGTTTTGTATCTGTGCTTCCATTATGGTAGCCACTAGCCCCATATGACTATGGAGCACTTGACATGTGGCTGGTGTGACTGAGGAACTAAAGTTTTAGTTTTATTTTAAGTAGCCACATATAGCAAGTGGCTACTGTATTGGACAGCTCAGTTCCAGGGCTTAAATCTCCTGATTTTTAGTTAAGTCTAAATTACGTGATATTGTTTAAATGCAGGAAAATAAAGAATTAGAATAGAATAAACTTTCATTATAAATTGTTATGAGTTAGCAGAACATGTGATTGATACCTGAGTTATATCCCCTTATATGGACTTTTTGCTACTTGTGCCTTTGTAACTCGTCCGTCCCTTTGTAACTTGTCAGAGAATCGTAACACTCATATTTCTCAAGAGCACTTTAAAATTTTTAAAGATATTCACACACAAAAAGAATCTTAAGCAATTCCAGATCTTACTGTTCATCCCTCCAGTAGGCTGAACTGTATATTGTAAAAAGCTAAGGATTTCACAAGCATATTTTTGATTTGAGTTTTATTGCTTCAAAAGTAAACATCGGTAGCTTTTTTCCACATGGGAGAGCTAATGTGATTGAATAAGATTTTTCTAGTTGGCTGAAAATGAAGAGGTGATTTTCATTTCTGTTTATTATGTAATTTGTTAGAGATACCTTTGTCTTTCGATGATTTCAGAGAACAAATTCTTGAAAAATGATACACTGTAATTGCCAGTATCTTTAAAGAGCATTTATTACCTATGTTATTGCCAGGAAAGTTTGGGTAATGGTATGAAATATTGCATGTTTAGAAGGATTTTCCAAGAGGAAGCATTTTTCTTCCAGCTTTTGGAGTGTTTCTGTGTAAGTTAGCAATCATGAGTACCCTAAGTTTAGCCTCTGTTTGAAATGTATCGTAGCCCTTTGGAGGCCTACAGGTACTACTGAGATGAGGGCTGTCACCTTCCTCTGCCATTCTTCTGGCATACTAGTAAAACTAGAAAAACAAAAGACTTAAAACAGAATAAAATCAAGTTTAGGAGATGATTCTTTTATCAGTGACTTGGGTAAATGATATGCCTGTCAGGTTTGCTGATGGTCTTGTATTTTTCACATTGCATGGTAGAATCAGAATCCAAAAAGATCTGGAGGATCTGAAATGATGGATTGAATATTACCAGATAAAATTTCAAAGGGACAAACTACAAGATTCCCCACCTGGGCTTCAAAATACAACTATAAGTGTACATTATAGGGATTGCAACTAGTGTCACATAACAATATGTGTATAAATTTTTATATGAGAAATTAACTTGAGCTGTAAACTTTCACCTAAAGCACAATTTAAAAAAAGAGTACATACAGAATTGAAGCGCATGGCTCATTGGCAGCTTATGTATAAAGATAATTTAAGGGTTTTAAATTATTGTGAGCTCAGTACCAATCAGTAGTGAAATGTGGTTGACAAAAGAGCTCCTGTGATTCTTGGTTTCATTAATGGAAATATGGTTGGCAAGAATAAGAGATATATATCAGCAACAAATATTTATTGAGTGAGTACCAAGTTCATTCTGGGCAAACCCCACCTTCATATTTGTGTTTGGTTCTGTACTTAGTGAGACTTTGAGCAACAAGAGCAGATTGATTGAGAGAAAAGAGAAAACTGTTTAGGGTATTCAAAATCTTTGTTAGAGGGACATGGAGTGAACGGCAATGATTGACTTGGAACACAAACCGAACCGTGGTGTGAAAGTTAGCAGTGATGGCAGTCTTTAGATAATGGAGGTCTGTCATTTATGAAGAAGAAGAATTTGACTTCCATGTGATTTCAGGGATAGACATTGGTCCGTTAAGTAGGTAATATAGAGAGAAAAATTTGGAGCCAGTAGAAAGGACTTTGCAGTGCCAGAACTCTGCTTAACAATGAAACCGAGCTGTCTTGAGTTGCTGAAGTTTCATAACCCCAAGGGCATGTCATAGAATAGATTCAGATTTTAGATAGATGGTTAGACTAAATGTCCTGTACAGTCCTTTCATCCTAGAGAAAGTTTGATTCTTTTAGTGATTCATCATCACTCAGCTGAGAGGAAATGGGATTCATAAGGATTGCAAGCAGTTTGGGAAAATCCGTTAATGCATTCTCTTTAATAACCTATGGTTTGCTACCATGCCCACATATCTGAGAATCTGAATTTCCTGCACCACTATTAAATCTAATTCTGCATTTCCAATTGAAAGGTTAGGAAGGAAAATAAAAAGAGAGAGAGAATCCATCTCTTTATTTCTTTGCATTTCCAGCTATTACAGCCTTTCCAGTCCTGTGGATATTAGACTCTATGTTGTATGTGTGAATGTGTGAGGGTGTACTTTGTGGAGCAGAAAAAAGTTCCAGATAGCCTGTCCTTGTAAAAATTTTAGTTCAATAAGGTTGAACAAAAGTAGGTCTGTGAAATGTTGGGCCAAGGATAGTAAAACATGAACAAATTTCAATTCCTTTAAGGGAGATGGAGAATTACAGTTGTGTAGGTAGAAGAAATTTATTTCCTGGATGCTAAACATGAATTTTGTGAATTAGCTGATAGAGCATTTTTCTTACCAGGGTTCAGATATGGGTTGTGGGATGTGGCATCCGTTAGTGCAGTTGTATGTAAAGGTCTCACTAAAACCTTTCAGCCTTTGTAAAGAGAAGATTTCTTCTGACTGATGACCCTTTCTTGAAAATACAAAGTGTTCATTTCATGAGAGGTAGTATGTGTAGCAGTTAAGAGTGCAGATTTAGAACCCTACTATGTTTAAATTACAGATGAGAGACCTTGAGTGAGTTAATCTCCCTGTCCCTTAATTTCCTCATTTATCAAAAGAGAGTCTTAATAGTAATACCTGCCTCAGAGGTTTGTTGTGAAGAGAAATCAATACATAAGTAAAGTGTTTAGAATGGTGCTGGTGGCTGGTAAGTGCTATATAAATCTTCACTATTGTTACCGAATGTGCCTATGTAAATCACATTTCTACCTAGCTTCAAAGTTGAAGTGTGTTAGTTTTAACAAAATGATTGTATGTCAGTATAACCACAGCTTGTGGTTATAGTTGATTTAGTTGTATGTTAGGATTATCATTAGAAACAAAATGTTTGCTTCTGTTTCAAAACCATTGAAGAAAACAGTTTATACTCTTCAGAAGCCTCCATGAGTAAGAGATAACCTTAGTTATTCTGGACAGGCTGGTTAAAAATTCCAGCAGAACAATTGGAAAATAGTGATAAGAAGAGTATTCACATATTTAAAAAAAAAAACAAACTATTGCCGTCAAGTTGATTCTGACTTAAATTGTGGGAGAATTTTGCCCCTATTGAATCTTACATATTTTTCTTACTCTGCATAAATTAAAAAAATTAAATTTCCTTTATCTATAATACTATGTCTCTTCAGGCAATATTTAAGTGTGCTGACATAGTTTGATGTTACTATAACCACACTAGATCATTACCTGTGTCCATTTGATATTCTCCTTGTCTTGACTGCCCTCTAGAGTTGATGAGAAAAGATCCTGTATTAGTAATCTTTACTCACTGTGTTTGACATCGTAGTGCTCAATAAGTTGAGCAGATGAAGGACTCTCTTCTCCTTGAGGCCTGTAACATTTTCGTGGCTCCAGATGCATTAACCAAATGATGAAAATGCTAAACGAAACCCAAGCCCATTGCTGTTGAGTCAATTCCAACTCATAGTGACCTTGCAGGACAGAGTAAAACTGCCCCATAGGGTTTCCAAACATTCGAACTGTCGACCTCTTGGTTAGCAGCCAAAGCCTTAACCACTGCGTCACCAGGGCTCCATGAAAATGCTAAGTTATCCCTAAAAGGTGTTTATCACTTGCATACATTGATATATATAATAAATTCTATTTGCTGTGTAATTAAGAGAAGTACAGTGCAGAAATGGAAAGTTTACTACTTCAATGTTCCTGTTTGCAGCCAACTGAAACTCTTGGATCTGTCCCCAAAATTTTGTCAGTGGAGATAAGAAGACTGTTGTTGTAGTTGCATCCTAGCGCAGATTCCTGTGTTACCAACTTTGCCTTCTCTGCTTTTCTTGTCATTTCCATCAGATGTTCTCTATGTGCCCCCACTTTGGGTTCCCCCATTCACTCCCTTCTCCTGCTATATCTTTCCGTCTATTGCTTTTCTGTGACTTAACCTTTTTAGGGCTTTCTTTGCCCCGGGGTATGAAGGCTGAATGGGGCTGAGCCTTGGGTACTGGTTTCCAATTCTCCCGCTTCAGCACAAGATGAAAAATAACTTCTTACACCACCTGTGGATAACTTGATGCTTAAGCGTAGGGCAGGATAAGTAAGACCTGAGTGGGCCTTACTTTCAGGTCAAAACTCAACCTTGCCTTTATTTGGACACTCATGTCTGGAATTGTGGAACAACTCAGGAGAGATTGGAGCTAGACCATATTTTAGACAGTTACTATAATTCTCCACTTTGAAGATACAAGTGACCTCTTGTATGCATGGTTAGTTGAAAAGAGCAAGTTATTTTATGAAGAATCTGATATATACTGAAAACTTGTAGTTATTTCTCAGCCCTTTTGCAAACTTCAAAATAACAAAGGCACTTATTGTTAACTCTTCATTCAAGATGGAGAGTGAATCGTAGAGAAGCTAAACAACTAATGTCAAATTGCATAATGCATAATGAGTGTCCATGAGCGCCAAGAATAGGAATAGTACTTGTGCCACCAAGCAGACATTTCCTTTCAAGCCGTTATAATTTGTGCCTACTATTAGAAGATTTTTACCACTGGATTTATTTATTTTTAATGCGATTTGGTCCTTTGATTCTATATATCCTTAAATTCTCAAGTGGAGGATTGTCATTCTGGTTTTCTAGTCTTTTTTTCTAGCTTCTTTCCCATTATTACTAAATAGATATTGAGTTGCATGCTATGTCCTACTCCTTCCTACTGATCTGTAAGCTGTTCCATTGGCTTTCTTTCTGTTTCCTGCTGCTTTCTTGCTTCATAATTGAAGGGAGGATTCAGACCCATTCAGGTAACAAACTATTGGTTATGCATGGCCTCGTTGTTACTCTATCCCCTTTAGTATTATTACAGTGAGATTTATTGTTTTCTGCTGAATGGATACATTCACATTGGAAAGTCACTATTGGTGGATTGTTTCAAAGCTTTTAAGCCTGCAGTGTGAACCATGGATAATCACAGGTACTGGCTGCCTGCTGCTTAGGCACTTTGAGATTTGAGCTCTGCTCATTCCAGACCATTCCTAGGCCTGGCTAGATTCTCCACTTTTATTGCAAACTGTTCTGGAAAGCAAAATTGGGTTCTGTTCAATATGGAGTTCCCATCTTTTTGAAAAGAAGACTTAGTTCAGCATGTGGAAACTCTAGAAATGGTTTTAGTTTAGCTTGACCCTGATGGACTGGAATGAAAATGTTTATGTCTGGTGAGGTTTCTTTTCCTTCTGAGTATTTTATACATGACTTGAGTGGTAGGTTTTTGGGGGGACTACTTTTAATAAATTGATAATGAACCATCTACTCTTTTTGAAAAGACAGTGCTTTTATACAACAGAACAACTTTGAGAAAGACACCAGCTACCCCTTTTGTTATATTTTATCATCTATGTTTAAATTAATAATTAATTATGGTACAGAATTTTTATTTTTAAATAGCTGAGACTTCATTATGAAGCAGTTGAGATTACCCTACTGTTCACAAATGTGTGACAACACTAACCAAATTTGACATTGTGTAGAATGGTTTTCATGAACCCAGTCTTTTCATTTATATTGTTTCTAATTCAGGTTTATCAGATTTCTATTAGTGGAAAAAAGGGGAAAGCTCATGAATGCAAAAATTTATGTATTTCCCTTTGCAAAAAACGAAATAAATATTTTTTGTCCCCTTCCCAGTTTTTCCAGAGGCCTCAAATACAGCCTCCTAGAGCTACCATCCCGAACAGCAGTCCTTCCATTCGTCCTGGTGCACAGACACCCACTGCAGTGTATCAGGCCAATCAGCACATCATGATGGTTAACCATCTGCCCATGCCGTACCCAGTGCCCCAGGGTCCTCAGTACTGTATACCGCAGGTAAAGTATCTCTCAGGTTCATGTGGCCCAGCAACAGAGTGGGAATCAACTCACATTCTCATCAGAAGGAGCAGGGAGGGTGGACGATGGCAGTGGTTTCTGGTAATATATAAACTTCTTAGTTGGTTATAAGTGTAACCATTTTATCCTTTTCCATAGTATTGTAAGAAGATGTTTCTACATCTCTTATTATTTTCTAAGGTGATAGAGAAATTGTTTTTATCTCCTAGCTCTTTCCCATCTCTCCCCTACAACCACCTGCTCTAAAATGGGCTTAGTAACCATGCTGTTCCTGTGATGTCCTTTAGTGTCATTGAAAGCTACCAGCCTGGAATCATTTTATAATGAGCTGTGTCTCTGCACTGATTTGCTGTGTATGGCTTCACCTAAGGCACACCTTTCTCTTCATCTTCATTGCATCTTGATAGCAAGCAAGCATTTCTGAATGCGTTTAACCAAGTGCCTTCACCTCATCTAAACGATTCTGTTAAAAATGCATACACACACATACAACTTTAAATAAACAAGCTACATTCGACATACTAAACATTCATATTATTTATTAAATGTCTATACTTTTTCTCTTCTAGTACCGTCATAGTGGCCCTCCTTATGTTGGGCCCCCACAACAGTATCCAGTTCAGCCACCGGGGCCAGGTCCTTTTTATCCTGGACCGGGACCTGGGGACTTCCCCAATGCTTATGGTAAGTAAGAATATCAAGCCATTTCTGCTAGATTGTTATGTTTATTTCATTTTGTTGTTTACTGGATCAGTTTGGACAATGATTTTTAGTGGTGTAAAGGTTTATTTTTATTTATTTATTTATTTTTGATGTTGCAAACAGTTCTGCCCTGAAAGCTGCTTTTTAGAGAGTGGCTTACAAGGAGAGAGTATTATAGAAATATAGTTATGTAATGACACCTTCAGAAGAAGCTGGCATTCTGCTGGAAAAGAGCCCATGTCTCAGAGTTCTGACATCTGCTGCCAACTCATCATTGCCTAGATTTTTGCTAATGACGTAAATTTAGATTATCTCCCTTTGGTGATTTCTTTTTCTCCAAGTATTTTTCACCACCTCACATCTTGGAGGAGTCCCTGGATGGCACAGATGGTTAAGTGCTCAGCTACTAGCTGTAAGGTTGGTGGTTTGAAGTCACCCAGAGGCACCTCGGAAGAAAGGCCTGGTGATTTGCTTTTGAGAAGTAAGAGCCTTGGAAATCTTTGGAGCTAAGTTTTTCTCTGACACACATGGGGTCGCCTTGAGTAGGAATCAACTCGGTGGCAACAGGTGAACGTCTTTGAGATTTTACTTGATGTTGTTAATTTTTCCCACTAGAATGTAATATCCATGAAGGCAGGGATTTTTATTTGTTTTGTTTGCTGCTGTATCTCCTGCACCTAGAACAGTGACTGGCAGGCACTTGGGAAATATACATTAAATGACTGAATATAACTCAGTGAACCTGTGATTTCTTATCTGCAAAATTGTGATAAGATCTATATCACAGAGACGTTTTGAGGATTAGTTCAAATGAAAATGCTGTTAAAAAAATTAAAACTTTTTAATGTAGAGAAGAAAGTGCCAAGCTTGTACTTGATATGTGAGCCAATACTGAACTAAGGGGTAGTGAAAATTATTTTATTCAACAAATTTCTACCACAAGCTACATTTGCTTTCCATAGAAAGTTAATTATAAGGGATAAAATAATTCAATACTAGAAAAATTAAGATTTAGTAAGAATTGTTTTTTTAAGATGGTAATCTGATCTGTTATAAACATGTATCCATTAACCAGATTCCTAACATTAGGATTTAGTGGCTCAATTCAGAACCTTTACAGCAGAATTGATTGTGTATTAGAATAACCCAAGAAAGTTTGTCTTCAATTTTGAGGTGAAATAGGCAAAGCAACCAAGTGTTACCTGGTTTTACTTCTTTTAGAGAGGAGAAATGCTTTCTATCACCTTGGTAACCAAAAGGTCAACAGTTTCTCTAAAGCAAAGATGAGAAGAAAGGGGGCAGGGAAACTAGAGTACTGGAAACAGAATAAGCAGAACACAGTGAAAGAGAATGTTGACACATTGTGAAAAATGTTGCTAATGTCTCTGAACAATTTATTTAGAAGTTGTCAAATGGAACCTAATTTGCTATGTAAACTTTCACTGAAAACACAATAAAATATTATTTAAAAAAAAAACAACAACAACCGTGGTCAGTGTTGCCTTGTGAAACTGCCATTTCTGAATAATACTTTATAACCTAATTAAATGTCTCAAATATATATGTTTATTTAACTCAACTTTATTAAGTGGTATTTTTACTATGAAGTAGTTGATATTTTCAGAACAATATGTATTACATATTTGTGAGTTTGAAAGTAAAATAATGTATACTTACCACCCAGCTCTTGATATAGAACATTGCCTCACACTGTTGAAGTGTTCCTTGTATACCCCCTGAACTTATCTTCAGTTCACAGTTTAAATGCAATTCTAGTGCCTTTGCATTGGTCCTTATTCTGAAAACTTAAATCCAATTAAAATTATTTGTGTGAAATTGGCTGGTGGTATTACCTAGAACTTATAATGGTAAAACTGTGAAATGAGTTGATCTCAATCGGAGTAAACATGCTAAAATTGACAATATTTCTCTCTCAATTTCAAGTTGCAGACTGAATGCAGTTGTGTCTTTTTAATTCACAAAATCATTTTTAAAGGTATCTCACTGAAATTCTAGTCTGCTGTATAATTGCAGACTATATCATTTACATAATTTGACTCAAAAATTTCATCATTAAAATTCTTGTTGTAAGTCTGTGCCAGCCCGCTCTATTGCTGTTAATAATACTGCTGTGGTATTTATAGAACAACATAGATGAGTATACCAACCAGCCAACCAACCAGTTGTCGTCGAGTCAGCTTCAACTCATGGCGGCCCCATGTATGTCAGAGTAGAACTGTACTCCACAGGGTTTTCAGTAGCTAATTTTTTTGAAGTAAGATCATCCAGCTTTTCTTCCAAGGCATCTCTGGGTAGACTGGAACCTCCAACCTTTTGATTAGCAGCCAAGCATGTTAATCTTTTGTACCACCCAGGGACTCCTGGATGAATTTACTAGAAGGGAGATAATTTACAGATTTGAGTATACATTATTATAAAATTTTGGCTCTATTTTTATTATATATAGACCATATTTATTTATTTTTATGCAAAAGCAGCATGTTGAATGTGGTTGTATCTCATGTATTATTGATAACTATTCGCTTTTGTAGATATTCTTTCTTCACCAGGAAATTCTTATGTAGAGTCCACTAGCCATCAGATAGGCAGTTTAGCACTTAGATCAAAACACTATTTCTCTAGTTTCCCTAAGGTTAGAAAAACTATTTTTAAATAATTTATTTCATCCTAAAAGTAACCAGTGATTAATGATGTAAAAATTCAAATAATATAGAATGTATAAAGTTGAAGTAGCAAATTTCTCTCCCTTTCTCTACCCTCTAAAGAAATAACAATTTAATAGTTTGATTAATTTAATAGTTGATACCCATTCAGACCTTTTTTGCATTTATACTTAAATAAGTTTTTAACATAGATGGGCACGTATTATTCATAAAGTTCTAAAACTTTCTGGTTTTTTTCCATCTCACAATATATTCGTGGTCATCTTTCTATTTTATTACCTATAGGATTTCCTTCATTTCTTTTAAGGGCTACCTAGTATTCCATACTAGGAATGAATCATAATTTATTTATCCAGTCTTCTGTTGATGAAAGTTTAGGTTATTTTCCCCATTGGGACAGATATTTTAGCTCTAAAGTTTGTCAGTAATTAATGTGCTTTATCAGAATTGAAAGTTCTGATCCACAGCTCACACCACATATGGTCTTATGGTCTAGAAGCTGTGAACATTCCCCTTCCTATTCCCTCATCTTGAAACTTTCCCCTTCTCTTACATTTTCACTCCCATTTATTTACTTTCCCTCTAATCCTAAAGCCTCCCTTTTCTTCTGCTGCCTCTCTTGTCCTTGTAATGGGTTTAGACTAGAAGTGAGTGTGGGAGTGGAATCATGGTTCTGTGTTCTCCAGATGACCTTCCCCTGGCAGAACTGGCAAGAAATGAAGAATCCAGAGACATGTTCCCTCTTATCCTACTGCTGGAGTTTATGAGTTGGATGATCTTTTGCCCAGGGTTCTTAGCTCTACATCTTTAGCTTTACAGTTCACTCCAGCACACTACCATTTTACTCCCAATCAGTTTTACTCTTAAACAGTGATTCTCAAAGAATACTCTTACCTACTCTAAAGTTCTGCAAACAAGATCTTGCGATTCTGCTGGTAAAATGTAATTCTGGCAGTCTTTCCATAGTTCGGAGAAAAATTAACTAATGAACAGCATTTGCTTAATGTAAGCTTTTCAGTTTTTCTCCCATCAGTTTTTCTTAAATATTTTGATTCCCATAATTGTTTCTCTACCAGAAAAATAACTGATGTAGACCAAAGTTATTTCCAATCCTGCCTAAGATGGAAAATGTAGGGTTAGGGGCAAGGGAGTATGGTTAATGGTAGGGATAGTGTTAGGAAAGAAAAGATTGAGAATTTACAGTCGTAGAAGGCCCTGTTACTCCTTGCTTCAAACCAGTATACTCTTCTTTCTTCTCACTCAACCATAGCATTCCCTCCTCCTGTCATCTTCTTTCTAACTCTTTTCCTGAGTTTCTGTGCGGCTTGGGCACCTCATTTAACTAAGAAGAGCTCAGGGAGTCTTGTTCCCATTGTGGTATGTGGAGGCAGGAACCTTTTTGGCATCCCAGGTCAAAGTTGATTTTGTTTTCCTGAAGAGGTAATTGTGTGTTTAGTGATGTGGTTGTATATTGATACTAGAATTGTTCTGGGTATACTGTGAGGAAAAATTAATTTTTCTGTGCCAACCTGGATATTTAACCGCAATGTTTACCATTGTTTCTGTGGAAAATTCAAGGCTTTGCATGTTTTTTGGAAGACTTGCAATATGTATTGTGTTGGTGGAATATTAAAATATTAAAATACCCTCCCTACCTTTCAGGGTCTTATAGTGCATTTGTTTGATGTTTATGCTGGGTTTTTACTAATGAGAAGAAATCCTAAATATTGACTAAATCAGTGGTTTCCAGATCTTTTGATATCACGGGCAAGTAAAATAAACTACGTAAAAGTAAAGAAAGGAGAAAACACACAGGACTATTGTATTTCTAATTTTGCCAATAAGATCTTTAAAGAAAACTGCCATTTATTGTCAGTATCATTTCATATAGGAAGACTATTCTAACAACAAAAAGATAGGACTAGAACAATTTCATAATAATTTACAAAAAAGTCATCTTGTTAAACCTATACTTGTATGTGAATGTGTATATATTTGTGTATTTCATGGTTATTATTATATATATTTGTCATATATAAGTATAGACTAGGGTTTGGGAACCACTGATCTAGACCAGAGGCCAGCAAACTTTTTCTATAAGGGGCCATTTAGTAAATATTTTAGGCTTTGTGGACCGTATGATCTGTATCTTGATTATTCAATTCTGTCGTTGGAGTGCAAAAGCAGCCATGTGCCATCAGTAAACTACTTTCTATGGATGTCTTCCAATTAAACTTTCTTTTAAAAAAAAAACCAGGGGATTGGCCAGATGTGGTCCATGGGTTATAGTTTGCAGACCTTTGATCTAGACCAGCTTACATCATTCTGTAAGTAAGAAACCTGAGGTCCAGAGAGGTTAAGTAGCTTGCCTAATTGATATGGTACACAAAGTTATTCAGGTTTTTAATAGAATACAAATGTTTTTAAATGTCCTCGACTATATAAGAAATTTGATTAGTTTATAAAAGAAACCTATTGTTTGGTGTAGGGCAGAAGGCCTCCTCTGCCAGGACCTACAACTGAGAAGATGACTCGATGTTTCACTAATTATATTCAAGCCCACTATGTTGAGATTATTCTGTTCTGCCTGGTTTATTCAGCAGGTTTTTGTTGGATGTGTTGTGTAGGTCAGGCACTACCCCAGTCACGTTGACGCAGAAATGTTTCAGTGTTTCATCAGAAGAATCTTGTTTTTAAAAAAGAGAGAAAGAGATGATTCACCTTTTAGATCTTATTTCACTTAGCTTGAAAAATATGGCAAGGTGAGCAGAGTATGTTGCTTATCTAGCAGCATTTGAAACCCATTTTAAGGGTTTGTTTTCTGACTTTAGGAGCTAGTAACCTAATGAGGTAGCATAGAATTGGCTTATTTGAGCTCTGTTTTGAGAATAGTTTATTTACTGCCAAAGGGTGGCAAAGGTTTTTGTCTCTTTACATTGAACTTACTGAAATTCTATCGTGTCCTTTTTTTAGACCTTTCGAAATCTAATTCTCCAAACCTGATATCTGCAGAGTTCTGGTGCTGCAACTCATGCTGCTTCTAAGAAATTTCCACTTGAAGGTTATTAGGATGATGGTGGGGATGGTGATGATATGGATGATGACAGTGATAATAGCAGTCAACATTATTTGACTGTTTACTGAACAGTGAGGATTTTACCTGTATTAACTACCTGCATACACACTGCTTTCATGCTTGTTACTGTGCATTACCTATCCATGCTGCTACCGAAGGCCAGCCTTTCACTTGTGCACTAGGTCATCCTCCTGTACCCAGTTAAAGCTATCACTCTAGCAAAATCCTCTTCTCTCTTTCTCATGTTGTCACTTTGTTTTTTTTTTTTTTCCCCTCCTGCTAGGTTAGTCTCTAGTCTCATCAACATACAGATATACTCTCTCATTTCCCATCTTTTTAAAAAAAAAAAAATGTTTTTTGGCTTCATATTTTTGTCCAGCTATAGTCCTATTTTTCTGTTTCCCTTTACAGCAAAGTGTTTAATAAAAAAGTTATCTCTGCTCATTGTTTCCTTTTCTTTCACCTCTTTCACTATTGCACCTACCCAAATCAGGCTGCACATCCCCTCTTTTTACCTCTCCACCCAAACAACTTTTGACAAGGTCTCCAATGACTTCTACCTTGCTGAATTGTACTTGATCTCTCAGCATCATTTGACATAGATAAACACTCCCCTTGGTTCTCCCCTCAAATCTTGATCCATTTTCTTCATGTCACCCACTACCTTGATTTCTCCTTTTCATCTCCTTTGCTAGGCTTTCCTCATATCCATGACCTTTAAACAAACAAGAGTATCCCAGGATTTAGTCCTTTGGCTTCTCATACTCACTTCCCAAGTTATCTTATCCAGCTTCATGGTTTAAATGTCCATATTCTGTCAATTCAGTAATGGATATCGCTAGCTCATACCTATCCTCTGACTCTAGACTTATGTCCCCCCTGCCTACTTGATATCTCCATTTGAAGGTCTGTTAAGAAACTCAAACTTTACATGTCCAAGATCATACTCTTAATTTTCTAGTCACCCTCATCTCAGTAATAGCACCTCCATTCTTCCACTTGCTCAGACAAAAAACCTTAAGTATTTTCCTTGATCCCTCTGTCACTCATACCCACATCCTATCCCTCAGCAAATCTACGGGCTCTACCTTTAAGATCTCCAGTATCTGACCTCTTTTCATCACCTCTATTGTAAGCACTCTGGTTTAATAATAATTGTAATAATAGACTAAGTTTTGAAAGATGTCTGTTGGAGCCCTGGTGGCGCAGTGGTTAAGAGTTCGGCTGTTAACCAAAAGGTCGGCAGTTCGAATCCACCAGCTGATCCTCGGAAACCCTATGGGGTAGTTCTCTGTCCTATAGTTGTAATAATAGACTAAGCTTTGAAAGTTTAAAATTGTTTATTGGTAGTACAAGAGTAGGTAGAATAAGATACTTCGGAGGGCAATAGAGTCAAAGGCATGAAAGATACAAAAGAGATTGGTATACTCAAGGGATAGGAGTAGGAATAGGTTCTAGCTAGAGCAAGGGCATGTGGTTGAGAATGGTAGAAAATGTAGTTAAAATCCGGGAATCAGGGTTAAAAGTTCTTGGATTGCATGCTTAGTATCTGAACTTTAGCCCGCTCATTTGCAGCCTTTTTTCCAACTCAACATGAGGACGTTTGTCAAGGAGTACATTCCAAACTCCCTATGGCAGTGGTTCTCTATAAATAAGGAGAGGAATTAGACCAACTCTGAACCCCCAAGATGATCATATATGTTTACATCCTACTCTTGATCAAACCCACACATAAACCTTTCATTGAGAACCACTGTTTGAGATAATTGGCAACCAGATTAGATTTTTTTTAAATGTTTTTTTTTAAGCAGTGATATTGCAGGATTTGTGTTTTGGAAAGGTAACTGGTGGCAGTCTCAGGAGTTGGTTATTTTGTATGAGATGCTGAAGAAAGGTGTTTATGAGTGTTTGAAGACATTACGAATTTTGGAAATTATTTCTTGACCACTTCAGTAGCTAGAGGAGGAGAGTGTTTATCTATGTTAAATGGTGCTCAGAACTAGTGGGAAAAGATGATTAAGAAGAATGCTTTTTTTTTTTTTTTTAATTTTTTTAAAAGGATTATCCAGAATCACAGTGCCACTGATAGTCCTATAGTGATTGATAAAGTTACTAAATGCTTCTTTTCATTCTTCTCTAATTCTTTAGGAACACCTTTTTACCCAAGTCAGCCAGTGTATCAGTCAGCACCTATCATAGTGCCTACGCAGCAGCAGCCCCCTCCAGCCAAGAGAGAAAAAAAAACAGTAAGATATCTTTATCTATGTATCTTATTTCAAGATTGAAAATGCATTCAACTTGCCAAATAGGTTTGCCCACAGCTGCAGTCATTATTCATCTCAGTTCACAAGTGACTGTGCCATTTTTATTCCTTCCTTATATCCCCACCACTAGGCCTGGAGGATTTTTATGAGTGTATAACTAAAAATTGTAAGTAGTATTTGCTTAATATTAGCTTTCAACATGCATTGAGTTAGGTATGCTACATAACAACATGCCTTCCAGCTTCAGAACTGGGAGGGTTCTGTTTGCCAAGGTCTCGCTCAGTGGGTGGAGTTTGAGCTCAGTTCTCACATCCTGATTGTCCTTTAACACCAGTCCTGATCAACCCTCCATCCAGCTATGAACTTAAAGAGAAAAATTAACAAAGAGCAAAGGCACAAAGTATTAAGGACAACAAGAAAATCCTTCATGTGGCATAGATTTATTTTAAGAAACAGCAGAATTGAGAAAGTATATTCTAATTGTTTTTAGTAAGTTATACAGAGGCATTGTTTTCTGTCTAATAAGGCAGGCCCAAGAGAATGAAGGAGCCCTGGTGGCACAGTGGTTAGGAGTTCAGGCTGCTAACCAAAAAGTTGGCAGTTTGAATCCACCAGCCGCTCCTAGGAAACCCTGTAGGGTCACTGTGAGTCAGAATCAACTTGATGGCAACTGCTGAGAGAATGAAAGTGTGGTAATATAAAATTCACATTGCAGAACTTTCTGTAAAAGAGTAGTTTTCAATCTTTTATCCATCACCTCTTAGAAGCGAGGATGGTGAGACTTTGTCTCATGTACTTTGGACATGTTATTAGAAGGGACCAGTCCTTGGAGAAGGATATCATGCTTGGTAAAATAGAGGGTCAGCGAAAAAGAGGAAGACCCTCAATGAGATGGGATGACACAGTGGCAGCAACAGTGGCAAACACAGCAACGATTGTGAGGATGGCACAGGACTGTGCAGTGTTCCGTTCTGTTGTACATAGGGTCACTATGAGTCAGAATCCACTTGACAGCACCTAACAACAACATCCATCACAACACATAAAATGCATGATGTTTATAATAAAGAAAGACTCCCACATTCATACAGGTAAGATAGGTGGGAGTGATATTATAGCAGTAGCCCTGAAAATACTCTAATTTTGTAAAAATTAATAAGGTTCACAAACTTTGGTACTTTATTGTTAGAAGCAAATTACTGTGGACTGGTCATAATAAATGGGACATGCCCATATGTCATGACATGACAGTTGAGAAGCTATGCTGTGAAAAGAATCAGTATGGTAAAAGTTGAACATTCTCAAAATGCAGAAAAATGGAGTTAAAAGATAATGAAAATGAAAGATTGTAATAACAGATGTTACTGAAGAAGAAAGTAGAACAAGTGAATCAGAAGCAGTTTGTAAACCTGTAGTACAAACTAGTTTTCATACCTGAAAAAAGAGCTGAGATTGAAATCTTACTGAAAAAAACCTCCAGATCCAGAGATTTTATTAGTGAATTCTCTGAAATTCTCAAGAAGCCAGGGCTACCTTGATAAAGCTCTGGAAGTAATGACAAGCAAAGGGGGCCTTTCATGTGTTAGTACTGTTCCAGCACAGAAGGCCTAGACCCAGGTACTCCATCGCAGCACCATCTTTACTGACATCTATAAGCATCCTTTTAAGAACTTAAAATAAGAAGACAATACACACTGTTCGGCACCCACCTTGCATCGTTTCACTTACTGGATGTATATATCTTGAAGATCATTCCATATCAGTACTTACAGATCTACTTCATTCTTTCTATTCGCTATATGGTATTTAATTTTAAGGAAAAAGCATAATTTTTCAACCATCCTGGTCTTGATGGACCTTTAGGCTGTTTACATGTCTTTGCTGGAGAAAAACACTACTGCAGTGATCATCTTACGTACATATACAAGATTATCTGCAGAATAAACTAACTTCTGTTCCTAAGTCATAGGGTGTGTACATTTTTCATTTTGTTAGAGAACCTTGGAGAACCATTTAAGTCATTTAAAAATTTATTCTACAGAGAAACGTCCATATATTACAGCTGTTTTATGAGCCTTGCCTTATGTTAAGCAGTGTAAATAAAATCAGTCTATTTGATAGTGCTTATGAGATGAGAATAAATACCTTGCCTTTTTGATCTAGAAAGTCACCAAACCAGATCCCATTTTAGTTGGTTATTCTAATGGCCTGAATCCCTTTGAATAACCCCATAGCGTTCTGAGGTTGAAACAAAGTTAATCTGGTAATTATGAATTTTAATATTTGATAGGTTTCCCAGTTTACAACTTTGATACATCTTATGCCTCTAAATCTACTACGTAGACACCCATATGTACACATGCCATTTTATTTTAAATTTATAGATAAGAATTCGAGATCCAAACCAGGGAGGTAAAGACATAACAGAAGAGATTATGTCTGGAGGTGGCAGCAGAAATCCTACTCCACCCATAGGGAGACCTATATCTACACCTACTCCTCCTCAGGTAAGCCAGAGTGAGCCGTGATGAGTGATGGTGTGTATTTGTTCACTAACCTCTACTGAACTCTTCCTTTTCTTTAGTCACTTTCTGTACTTGCCATTTCCATCAATTGTCTCATACCCTCGAATATCTAAATGGTATTTAAACAGATATGTTGTTTCTCTTTACAAATTGTTACAACTTCCAAATTTTTATTGGTAATACTTCTATATACTGTCTTCACATTCAGAGCACAGCTGCTGTCACTCTTCCTAGTGAACTATTTATTGTATGATACCAAAAGGAGCTGCATTCCTATGGAAACCTCACCATTAAATGAGTATTTTATGTTTTCACTCTGGAACCTTAGGAATTAAATGCTACACACTATATTAATGCAAACATTAAGATTGAGAATTTAAACATTTTTACAAAACAGTGCTGCTTGAGATGATTGCCTGTGTTATTCAGAGCACATCTGGATGTATTATAGGTATAGCTTTCACCTTACAGGGCTACATAAATGAGCTTCTTGAGTGGAAAGTATCTCCTTTAATTATTTGCAGGGGTTATTAGTAGATAAGTTCTATCACTTAGTCCCCTTTTTGTTTCTGATGAGGAATGTGGTTATCCCAGTCTTTTGAGAGTTCCCTTTCTTATTTTTAGAAATTAAAGACATTGCAGGAGGAGCTGGAATTTAGTAACTATAATAGGGAATGGGATTTCTCAAATTTGACAGTAGGTGATGCCAAGATTTTTATGTCATCACTGGGTCATTTTCAATTTTAATAAGTGATTCAGAGAAAATAAGTGATTTTCAAGTCTTCAAAAATTATCTAAAGTGAGAGACAGCATGTAACGGATAAAAGGAAAGTTATTTAAGAGTAGGAGCCTGCTTTCTTCCTCCTCTTGTGACTAGATGGTGAGTAATTCATCAGAGCCTAGTTTACAAACAAGTGATATGCATGATCAAATTGAAGGCATTTCAAAATGATAGCTCTATTTCCTTGATTTTAGTAGTATAGGTTTTTTTAAAAAAAAAAGTTCTTAAACATGTTCTTGAAGACAAGTATAAAACAGCTGACTGATCTTAAAACCTTATGAAAATCTGTGAATTTTGAGTAAGCTTAAACCTGGTTCTTTGTTGTGATGCTTTTTTTTTTTTTTTTCCCCATTTGGAAATGATGGTAATGACTGACATTTATCTCAGTCTTCAGCATCCAGATGAGTATAATATGTGGCCACCTAGATATATGAGTTGTAAGGTCATATTAATGGTTATTATAGAACTCTTTGCTATTCCATGTTATTTCTCCAAGGATATTCTAAGTCTGGAGTGATTAAGAAGGCCTTATGTTTAGTTTCTTCCCGGGAAGTGAACATGGGACAAGCACAATTTGCAAATTTAAATTACCTATTCATGTGCTATATTAGATCAAGGTATAGTGTAGCAAAAATTGGGATTGGTTGATCAATACAGGCAAATTTTTGGTCTGCATTTTTGAACATTCATTAAAATAAAGTTATTGTTAAGCTATATTGTTGACAACCCTTGGTTGATTTGTGTGTAAATTCTCAGCTTAAACATGTGGTAGTATGTCTTTTTGCATTTAAATTCTTTTTGGGGTTTGTTTTTTCTTTAATCTTAGCAAGCTTGATCCCATCCCCTTCTGGTTTTCCGTTTGTCCTTAGCCACAGAAGCCCTTTTACTCTCTCTGTTTCTTTCCCCAGGGACCATGGGCCTGCTAAAAGTATATGTGTCTCTGTAATCATAAAGCCCATTGGATATACATTTTCACTTAATAAAGACCATCAGTCAGTAACTATTATGTTGGTAGTTCATTTTGAGGTGTAACATTACCTATGAAGGATAAATTTATTTTATTCTGTGATTTGCATTTAAATCTATACTTTCTAATCTGTTCTCTTTCCAAATACATGAAATTCATGAAATGAACAAGTACCTTTTAAACAAAGACATAGATACTAGAAATATTTCATTTTCCTCTTATAAAAAACAACAGCGCTAGTGCGGTGATGGCAGATGACACTTGACCTCATTTCCCAAGAAATCTTAGAGTAGTATAGACTGTTGAGTGGGAAAAGATATACCCTGTCTAAAGGAGGCAGTCATTACTGCCTGATTGCTATATGTAAAAATGTTGACCCATCGTTTCAAAAGAAGGAGAAATCTTTATGTAAAAAATCTGCACATTTTGAACGTTGGCAATTCTATTAATAAATAGCACAATGCCAGCCAAAGAAAACCCATTGATTTAGCTTAAGATCTTTTGCAGCTTCAGCCTAATGCCAAGAAGATCCTGCACCACATTCTGGTTAGACGAGACAGCCCTATGCACCAGAATTTAGGACTGAATAGTAAATATTGTATTACTTTTGACCTTACAGAGTACCTGCTTTGAGTCAGGCACAGTTGCATGTGCTGTAGATAGCAAAGCTTTTTACTATCATTGGGGGGAGTCCAGTCACTTTAGGGAAGACAGATAAAGGACCAATTACCATATGTGACAGTCCCCCTGTAAAGGGTATACACAGAGTTAAAAAGCACAGAGATGATCAGGGGGGCCAGAATTGCTGTACAGACTGAAATGTAGTGGATCACGGAGACCTATTAATGATAGCAAAAAAAAAAAAAAAAAAAAACGGTTGCTGTCGTGTTTATTCCGACTCAGAGTGACCCTATAGGATAGAGTAGAACTGCCCCATAGGGTTTCCAAGGAGCAACTGATGGATTCAGACTGCCACCCTTTTGATTAGCAGCCGAATGCTTGACCACTGTGCCACTAGGGCTCCATTAGTGGTAGTACAGGTTAAATAGGATACTGATTAAAAGCTTAATACCTGGTTTCAAGTCCCAATTCCACTATTTAGTTTTGTAACTTAACCAAATTGCTTAATCTCCCACAGCCTTAGTTTGCACATTTAAAAAATGGGGAAAAGAAAATACGCATACAGAGTTATTACAAGGACTAAATGAGATAAAATACTTAAAATTGCTTAAGCTCAGTGCTTGGTGCATAATGAGCATTCAATAAATATTGGCCATTATTAGTATTATTATTTTAGGATGCGTAGAGGAGTGAATGACTGGGAAGGCTTCACAGCAAAGATGCCATTTAATCTGAGTTCCTAGATTGGTGTTCACAAAATGGAAAAAGAGAGACTTTCCAGGAAGAGATAGCACATGTGCAAAAGGGCTTATCTAGGAGGAAAACTGAGTGAAGCGAGGCTGTTGTCATATTTCAGGTGAGAAATGAGGAAGTCAGTTAAAGGACAAGGGAGCCAGTTGGAGAGATGTTCAGCAATTGGTTACTAACTAGATAAAATTATAATAAGGGTGACCATATAATTTGTCATCCAGATTGGGGCACTTTGGGAAGGGAACAGAGATGCTGTTAATCATTATACTGGGAGAACAGGCATAAACCAGTACTGTCCCAGGTAAATAGAGATGTATGGTCCCCCAAGATGTAAGGGGAGGAAAGAGTCAGGGGTAACTACTCTTCGAGCTTGTTTTGTTGTTAGGTGCCATCGAGTCAATTCCAACCCTGTGCACAACAAAATGAAACACTGCCCGGTCCTGTTCTGCTGCTGTCCATAAGCTTTGCATCAGCCAGTTTTTTGGAAGTAGATTGCCAGGTCCTTCTTCCTAGTCTGTCTTAGTCTGGAAGCTCCACTGAAACCTGTCCATTGTCCACCATGGGTGACATGATGGTATTTGAAATACCAGTGGCATAGCTTCCAGCATAACACCACAGTACAACAAACTGACAGACAAATGGTGGCTTCAAGCTTAGACACCTGGATTTATAGTAAAACATAACATGTAGTATATATGGGAATATTAGAAGAGAGCGTAATGAGTTTAATTTCAGCAAATGATCATTCTAAGAATTGTGGGAAGCTACAGTGGGTTTATGTAAGGAGAATATAGAGGAGAAACAGGTTTTTGCTGTTCTTGTTTTTCTCCTGAAAGAAATAGATTGAACTTGAAACTGTTCAGCTTCCAAAATTTTTAAATTATCTATTGGATAATTCCTGGAGATTTTAGATCTCAAATATGTAAAAAATATACATATGTGTATACTTGTGCCCATACAGATGATTATAGTACATAGACATGGTCTCTCCCGTCGTTTGGGAAAATAATTACCAAGGTCAGCAGGTTATTCAGTCTTTTGAAGAGCTGCTTATAAACTTGATACCTGGAAACCTTAAATTCTGTACCTGTTAATTAGTTAATTTCATGTTTATCAATAGTTTTCTAGATTTAGGTTCTAAAGTTTAGGTAATAACCATTTTATAAGTAGATACATACAATAAGTAGGAGAATTCCTACATAAAAAATGGAAAGGTGATACCTATATAATGTAAACAAGTCCAACCTTAACTTTTAATTTCATTTTGTCATCTCAGTCCTAGACACTGATGAATTAATATCATTCTGTACCTTGAAGTGTATAGGCATGGTTTTGTTTTAGAGGTGACTGGAATAAAGATCGTGATTATTGAATTAAATCACATTGTACTTCATCTTTAATAAAATAATTTATCATTAGTAACCAGCCTTGACTTGAAAATGGTACTTTTTTATAATACGGAAAGCCTCGTGAACTTTAAATATGTATCTAAGCATGGAGTGAATTCTCTCCAAGGTTTTAAATGAGATGTTATAATGAACAGAGAGATCCTTGGTGGCAGATGTTAAGCTGTTCCATAGTTTAAAATGAATTTATACACAGATGTTCAGGGATTCCTACTTAGAGTTATAGGGCAGGGTCGTTGACTCCATCAGATCTGTCTCCAACAGGGTTTTGTGAAAATGTCCTGCTTTTTTAATCAAACATACTGTCTGGCTTCATTGCTTGTAGGAATTTCCTAAAGCAAGAAAACAAGAAAATTTGGCTTAAGGCCATTTTTGAGATACCTTATTTTCTTTTGGAAGCCAAGTATGTTTTAAGTTGTTTGCATCCCAACAAAGATGTGTTTATGAGACATGGTGG